AGCTGTAGTGTCAATAAGCTCCCCATTAACCCTTAAAGTAACTGGTATTTGTAATACAGTAACTAGACTGGAAGTCTGACTCACCGCAGGAGAGTTACGAGACGGTCGAGTGGGGCAGGAAGCTCTCATATGTCCACAGAGACCGCAGTATAGACAGAGGTTCTGGCGAACACGTCTCTCTCTCTCTCCTCCACGCTGAGATGAGTATAGCCGATCTGCATCGCTTCAGTCTCATGTGGTAGAGGCGTCATAACCATAGGAGCCGAAGAGAGGTGAGGTTGTCGTCGAGAGCGGATGAGGTTGTCAATGCGAATCGCCAGCTCAATGAATTGTTCCAGAGATTTACCCTCATCACGGCAGGCCAATTCAGACTGCAGGTCAGCATTGAGCCCCTTGCGGAAGAGGAGCTTGAGAGGATCATCCAACCACCTTGTCTGAGCAGCGAGCGTGCAGAAGGATAGTGCATAGTCAGCCGCTGAACTTCTTCCTTGACGGAGAGATAATAACTGCTCGCCCACCTCCTTGCCACCCTCGGGATGTTCGAACACCTCCCTGAAGTGTTGAATGAAACGGTCCTCACTCCACACCGCGGTGGCCCAATCCAGCGCCCTACCAGTTAGGAGCGAACAAACAAAGGCAATGCGACTACTGTCCGTGGGGTATAGCATTGGCTGTTGATTAACGAGCATCGAGCATTGGAGCAGAAACCCCTTACACTTCGTGGGTGATCCATCAAACTTTTCTGGAAATGCCAAGCGAGGGCTGGTGGTGACGGCAGCCGTTGCCGGAGCGTGTGGAGGTGGGTTAAACGGGGGAGAGCTCTCCTCGGGTGGTGGTATCCGCAGAGCTCGCAGAGTCGTTACCAGCTCCTCTGTGAGTGAGGTAAGTCGGCTAAGCTGTTGTTGATGAGAAGCCAGTACTGATGCTTGAGCGGTTACTTCCGTGGTGAAGTGATAGAAAGTTGCTGGATCGACTGAAGTCTTCTGTAATGAGGATTCAGTGACGTTGGGATCCATGTGCAGCTTTATTAACAACCAGACAGGCAAAGTTCAATCAACAGTATACAAGGGTAACGTAGGCAAGGCAGAATCATAACCTGAGTCCATGCAAAGGGTCGAGGCAGGCGGCAGACAGAGAAGAGAGCAAATCCAATAACAATGCAAGGTCAAAGAGGCAGGCAGCGAACGATCAGACGGGTCTAGACAATCCAGGTAGGCAACAGGTAATCAAACAAGGTATAAACGCTCAGAAATGTCAGCAGTAGCAAAAACAAGACTTCGCAATGAGGGTATGACACTGATTAAAAAGTCATGATAATGATAAGCACCTGTGCAGGTAATGTCGTGGAACAAACAATGGTCTTTTTCGAAGTTGTCAAACCAAAGTGTCCAAGTCTTCACTTGCCCAGGGTATGTATTGGGCGTGAACTTGCTTGATGAGGATTGGGCACTCAAATCTTGGGGCTTCAGCCCTTCTTGATGTCCTTGTTAATCTGTGCTCATCTTCTCCTTTTCGTCTTTGTGTTTGGAGAACTTGAAATCAGTCATCTGGATATTTTATATCTTGCATGACCAGTGTCCCAGCTACTTGCTTGTACTGCTTCTGCTGGACATAATCATGTGGGCTTGGGTGTGGTTGCATTGGTTCACGTTTGCTCATCAGTTCATCCAGCTCCTGTTGCAATGAGTCCACAGCCTGTTTGAAATTTTCTCTTGCCATGTGATCAGCTTGTTTGAGATTCTTTCTTGTTCTTTTGCACCTTTCCTCCATCTCATCCAGTGCTTCCTGGACGGAGTCAGCAGGTGTCACTGTTCCTTCAGGTAAATCTTCAGGCTCTTCTGTTTGATAGTTCCTCACATCTCCACAAACTGATGTCTGATGTTTGTGGTGGTCTTCCATTTCTTTGAGTATTTCTGAAAGACAGTGATATGTGGGTGGCTCACCTGTTTTCTCCTCCTCTCTGTAGTCCTTGGCCCCTCCTCTTTTGTTCCCTGGCTCCACCTCGTGGGCTGTTCTCTCTCTCTCTCTTAGCAGTGGTGTGGATGTTCTCAGCCCCTCCTCATGGTTGTGTGTGTTTCTCTCTCCCCTGTTTTCTGCCATTCTCTTCAGTTCACTTCCGCAGCTCTGCTCATTTATTTCAACATCTGTACTTGCATCTTGTTCATATCCCTCAAATTCTATTGACCCCTTTAAATTGGTTTTTTATTGGTTATGCCTGTCTGGTTTGCCACAATTTATTACTAGCACACCTGGTCCATCTTTTAATGGTGGAATTTGGCCAAATCAACCATTTTTTAAAAACGTTAATTTTGCCGCTTCCCATTGGTTGGCGGTGGTCCCATGAGACATTCATCAAATCTGTTTACTCGTTACTGTCAACTTCTGGAAATCACCCAGAGTTCATTGGGTTACTTAAGTTCACTGGTACAATCCAATGGAAACCACCGGTACTGCCCAATGGAAAGGCCCTCATACATACAATCCTCATTAAGACATCCAGTATTGGGAATAATTCAGCATATTGATTAGTATATTGATTACTTTCATGATTATACATAATATTTTAAGTAAGATAATACCATATTGAGTAAATAACATAATAGGTAATAGAATTACACAATAGTAATCAGTCTCAGGCATGGGGTGATGGGAAATGAAGTCCTTAAGAACAGTTAGTACTCCGGTGACGGTTCCCTCTGGTGGTGATCGGAGGGAGCCACAGAGGCTTGATTTGTGACAATATGAATGAGTTTAAAATAGTCTTGGTTTTGTCCTGTTTTTGGCATTTAATGTAACCAATATACACTGTAATCGTCTGTATCAGTTCATCTAGCCTGTCTGGGAGTAGACATTTCTCCATCCTTTTTGTCATTTGTGGAATGAAAGCTTTTTTATTTCAAAAACACAGTTTTTCACTTAACAATAAGTTAACTGATAGACTGGAGTCGTGTGGATTACTTGTAGATTACTGTAATGTTTTTATCAGCTGTTTGGCCATTTTGACAGCACCTACTCACTGCAGAGGATCCATTGGTAAGCAAGGTATGTAATGCTAATGTAACCCCCGGGTCCTACTTGCACCCGTTCCAAGTGGGACTCGAACCCAGGTCACCGGCATGGGAGGTGGGCAGTCGCCGTGATTTTGCCAAGTAAGACATGTTCCTGGATCAACATTATTATCCAAAAATATAGACTTAACCCAATCCCTACCCCTAAACCTAACCTTACCCATTTATTGCTAAAGTCAGAGGGAAATGATAGCTGATTAACAAGGGTATAGAAGCACCTAACCCCGATTTTAAGCCTAAAACAGATATTTCCTGAAAAGTTAAATCTCAATTCTGATTGGTTGATTGGAATGTTGTTCCAGGATCAACAAGGATGTTGATCCAGGAACATGTTGTACTTGGTCAAATCACGCTCACCGAGGTGGGCACACTAACAAGAAGGCTAAAGACTGCAGCCTCTTGTGTGAGTTGCTAGCGTGCCTCTTGAGATCAGGGGAGTGAGGTTTACCTGCACAGCAGCTACCAGCTGGCCTCCGTTACACTAAATTTCTCCAAATTTCTTTCTGATGAGGAAACTCCTTCTGATCCGAAAACTACATTTCGGATGGCCTGAGGGTGAGTACTTTTCAGCACAATTTTTTTTAAGCACAAACAAGCAAACCATTTGAAGCATGCCCAACTTTATTTTGCATCTATGGCTATGGTGCATTAACTTTGTATTAATTAAGCCATTAATGAAAATATTGTTACAAACACCTTGCTGGACCTGAGGGGTTGCTTTTATTTTTTATTCCTTAATAAACACATTTATACATATAAATAAATGTCTGTCTTGAGGTAGAATGCTTCAAGGGGCAGATAATAGTTTTGGTAATGAAAAATTTCCAAGTGCTGATCAATCTACAGATTAATTTTGCTCATTGCAGTCTGCATTGATAAATGGCTTCTGCTGAGGCACTCAGACAAAATTCTTAGATTTGTTTTCATGAGAGAGATTAAAGCACCTTTCATTGTATTGCGTGAATTGATTGAGAGATTCAGTTTATACTTTAACAATAAAATAGATGCTCACAATAAATTATAGATACCCAACAGCTGCTTCTGATTTATGCTGAAAACAGCATGTTCACCAGTTCACACTAAATTGGCTGCCTTATAGTCCCCATTTCTTGTCTTTAATAATGAAGAACATTCAGTCAGGTCAGATGGGCTATATCTCATTAACTGAGACGTTTTGAGTTCAATGTCCAGTTACACAAGTAAAAATTCCAATATCATCATATTTTTATAATGGCTCTTGGGCAAAACAGAGAATATGAGCTAACATGAGTGATGTATACTGGCAGACTCCCTTGGACCAGAAACTCATGTTCTAAAAACCAGCAGGGATAATTCACCCAAAAAGTTTCGAATATGATGATAGAATTTTTCATTTTTCGGTGATCTATCCCTTTAAGCTATGACATTTTTTTCTTTTTCTTTTTTTTCCTAGCAAGGACATACGTCCAATGCATTCTGACATTCTAATATCATTTATTTTAGTAAAAGAAATAATGCTTTAAATACTGTATGTGTTCAGTATTTAAACTACAGCAAATACTTCCTATAAATCTTAAAATCTCTGCCCTACGTTTTTCTTATGATCTATCCCACTTGAAAATGCATGCAATGCAGTACCTAAATGTGTGTCTATGAATATTATACAGAATCAGCATTATTATTTTACATTTATATGTATGAAGATTGTGTCATCAATCTCAAAAGCATACTCTGACTCCTATTGACTGCTTTATTGGCAAAAGCAGTCAATATGGCGCCTTCAACTTCATATGAGGACCAAAACCCTTTCGAGACATGCATGATGTCTGAGAGACAAACCTTTTACAGTGAAGACGACGATAATGTTTAGTCAGCTTCATTTCTTACGGTACGTTGCCGCCGCAGCAGCGCATAATTCTCTTCTATTCCTTACGGTAAGTGCGCGTGGCTTGTGTTGGTTTTGCGATTGTCACAACTGAAGCACGCGAGCGGCGCACTACATCAAGGTAAGTAAACAACAGCTTGTCTGCGAGAAAAGGTAAAACTGGATAATGATCGCTCTTTCTTATGAAATGCTGGCTGCAGTTTTAATAATTCTACATTTAATATCAAGCTTTATCGCTGTTGGTTTTATTCAAAGAGAGCAAAAGTGTTACTAGGACAATTTTATTTTTTGAAGGCAGGGAGTGCGTGTACACGGTTAGTCACATTCTCTCTGTTTGGTCCGATTAATAAAACCCTGGAAACAACTTCTACGGCAATTAAATGCTTACCATTTAAAGTATTTTTCTGCTTTAGCTTTAGACTAAAGAGATTAACTGGTTGGCATTGAAAAGGTAGCGAATAAATCAACTGTCTTCCAAACTCGACGTGCTCTGTGCCGTCTGTCATAATACATATAAACTGGCTTTGGACAGTTTATTTGACGGTTTGTAATCAAATGAATAGAGACTACACGAGTAAGTAAAAGTAATGGGAATAGTTTGAAACAATTTTGCAAGCCAAGCTTACAGTACAACATGGACAGATAGATGCCTGTTGAAGGCACTTTGGGAGGTTTTAAGTATAGGCTATTTGTAATTCTTTACTAAAAATCAGTGCATTTTGCGTCATCTGATATATGTACATGCCTAAAGTGCTTTTAAAATTATTGATATTAACGATTTTTTAATGTTTTAGTGGTTTTACTGTCTTTTTATATTATAGTAGCCTATTTGTATGTTGTATGTTATTGCAGTATTAGAGTATGTTTTTATATGGCAACATTGATGTAAAGTGTTTTGACATATAGTCTCTTTGTTATGGAGACAGAATTACTTTCTGATTTGTATTATGGACATGCTATACAAACAGTTTTTCAACATAAACTACTTTTATTCTTTAGGAGTTTGGGATAGACAGTTAGTATATTAAAGGGGTCATATGATGCGATTTCAAGTTTTCCTTTCTCTTTGGAGTGTTACAAGCTGTTCGTGAATAGATAAGGTCCCTGAAGTTGCAAAGACTAAAGTCTCAAAACCAAAGAGATATTCTTTATCAAAGTTAAGACTCTGCCACACCCCCCTAAAACGGCTCGTTCTAACACGCCCCCACATATCTAGGTCACTATGTGGAAATATTTGCATAATGCCGCCCAAATGTGCACGCAAAGAAAGAAGGCATGGTTTCAGTAACCGCAGTTAGTGTTGAAGCAGCCATGTCATGGAGACAATGTGTGTCTTTGTAGAAAACGAAGCGTTTGAGAGAGGCGGGGCATAGAGGACCTACAATAATGTACAGTATTTGAAAAATAATGTGTTTTTTGAACATTAAAGCATGTCAACATATTCTGATACACCAAATACACAAAATAATGATCTTTAAAAAAGCATCATATGACCCCTTTAAATAACAAAATGTTGTCTGTTAATGTTACTTCTTTTGCTACTCTTATAATTGGCTGTTGATGTAGATGTATTCATTATGCAGTGGATGAAAATCGAAATCCAGTCTTACTGTTACACCTAACACCTATTTGATAACACAGAAACCAGTGTTAACAGTCTTATCTATTTTTAAAGCACTCAATGCATCAGTGGTTAGGGACAGGGTTTCAGAGGGTAAACACAACAACTGGTCTCATTTTGCTTGCTTTTAAAATGTTTTGAAATAATGTGTAGTTATGTTTAATTGGGCTTTATTTGATCCAAATTCCATCTACACTGCACAGATGCAATTTAACCGAATGACACTCTCATCTAGACTTGTCTATAACTAAGTTTGATAGTGACCCTAGTCATTTTTAAGGAAAAAAAGAATTGTTTAAAAAATCCACATTGCATGTCTTTAGGCGATGCCTACCTTTAGGTGAACATCATTTAATTATTTAATCAGGATTTACGTAGAGGCCAATGGGCCAGCCACTAGCTGAACAAATAACAACATGTTTAATTAATAGCTGTTTAACTAATAGAATTGTAAATAGGATTTTGAATTTGAAATAGAAAAACACTGCTGTTCTCATTGGTAAAGGGTATTTCTTAAATTAATGAATGAATATAATACTTTTTACACCACAGTGCCATATGATGGGTTTCAGCACCTAGATACAACTTTAGTTTTTCTTATGTTTCATGTAAAAGTCATTGAGAAGAACAAAGAACAAATTTTGCTGTGTGTATGTATATATATATATATATATATATATATATATA